GGCAAGAATGATTATAAATGAAAAAAAATTGGAACCAAAAAAGGTTTGGCCAGGTTGGTGGTCCAGATTGGAGCCAAAACAGTAAATTCTAGTGCTTTACTGCAATGTGGGTTGGTGAATGCCCCAATCAACAGCTCTTTGAAGCCATCTGGAAGGCAATTTTTCCAAAATTTTCATTCATAATCATTCTTGCCATGTTCCATTCTTTCTTTCTCTCAGCACTCCCACTCCCCCAAAATGAATATCAAAACTTTTGAAAAAAATTGAGTTTATTTTTTATTTTTCACAAATTTTCAAACTTTATTTTTTGCTTTTATTATTCCATATTCACTTTTTGGGACCTATTATGCACCACCTGACCAAGCCTCATGATTTCAAATTTGTGGTTTGGAGCTCTGGAATCCAAAATAAGCAGCCACTTTTCACTGTCTAGGCACTGTACATGTTTTTTATGCAAAAGATGGCACCCCTGGCGCGCCTCCAATGTGCCAGCCAAAGGCGCACATTGCTGGCAGTTTTGGAGGTGCCCTCTGGCGCCCACTTTTCCAAAAGTGGCGCCATCAACCCTAGCTACAGCGCTTTTAGCGGCAAAAGCAGCCAAAACCCACTAAAAAGCGCTGTAGCGCAGCATAGTGGGCCCTTTTTTGCAGCCCACACGTGTAGCATTAGCGGTGTCGTGGAGGAATTCCGCTACACTACGCTTAACGCTAACGGGAATTCCGCTGTGTTACTCTACACTAACTGCTACAGTTAGTGTAGCGGCCCACCATTGGTTGTGCCTTGTCAGCCTTGAGACAGTACAGTCTCAATGTTGGATATGCTTATAGCCAGTCTGTATGCTTCTATCAAAACATAGCTTGTATATAGTCCTGACTGTTTCTCATCCAAGCTAGCTAACTCACTGAATCTAAACTATCTTTATCTTTGTGTCCAGTCACTGTCACAAGACCCAGCGTCTGTGACTTTCAGTTCCCTTCAGCCTGGTCCACCTCAACAGGTTATGAGACCCATTGTTGCTACGCTCCCATTCGATTTTGGTTATCAATCACCCCGGCTATCTAGAACATCTCCATCAACTTAATCAAAAGATGCCTATTTGACAGATGAACAACCCGTCAGCTCTCATTCAAACGGTTCCGGCTTTAGACGGCAACTTGGTCACGTTTCTGTCATGGCGAAATCGACTTCAAAACGTTCTCCAACTTCAAGGTTTCCTCAATATTGTTAATAAAACACTACCTTGTCCAAATAACAGCGACTCAAAGGAGAAGTCCGCCGTCCGATCTCCAGAACAAAGAGGATACAATCCCGAAGAGTACGGAGCTGATTGGGATGCCTTGTCTGATATGGCATGCTCAACGATTCAAATGACACTATCGTCTGACCTCGCTATTCGTTATGAATCGGTAAAACCGGCGAGCAAACTCTTCTCCACCATTTGTGATGCTTATGAAAAGAATACCCGAGCGAGACGACTTCAGCTTCAGAATGCATTTTGGATGGCTCGTCATGATCCAAATCAGCCGATCGCGAAGTGGATCGCTCGGATCCGAATGGCGGCCTCGGACCTGGCTAGTGTAAAATCAACTCCGTCTGATCAACAAATATGTGATAGGCTTGTTCGCGGCCTCGACGACTCATGGAAAACAATCAGAGATCATCTTGTTTACTCCCCCAACAAAGTTTCACTCGATGACGCCGTCGGAGCAATTGAAGCTCACAAGATCTCAATGACCACTTCACTGGACCACTCTGATCACCTACCAACTACTGCTGCTGTTGCCAAGGCTAAAGGACGTCCACAATGCTACACGTGCAGCGAGAAAGGTCATCACTCGGCCGATTGTCCGAACAAGAAGAAACACCTGAAGGCCTCAGCACGATCGGTTGAAGCTCGCGCTGGTGCCACCTCTGTCGTTCAACTAGGGGGATATGACTCGAACGATGACGAAGATGACAGCTTCGACGAAGAAATAGATGTCTGGGGATGATGGGACGGAAGGTCGACACACATTTATCTTCGTAGGGCGCACAACTCCGGTGCAAACTTATGGCTAATTTCTATTGTCGGTCTGTTTTGAGCACAGTGGCTGTCGTGGCCTCTCCCTACTCCCTATCTACGTACAAATCTCTGGCCTGGTTATTTTTTATTTTCTGTTCCCCAAATGAGTTTTTTTTTCTACTAGAGGCTCCAAATAGTAATTTTTTTTATCTCTACCACTTACAACTATTAGTTTTGTTCTCAGCAAGGGGGTGTGTTGGATATGCTTATAGCCAGTCTGTATGCTTCTATCAAAACATAGCTTGTATATAGTCCTGACTGTTTCTCATCCAAGCTAGCTAACTCACTGAATCTAAACTATCTTTATCTTTGTGTCCAGTCACTGTCACAAGACCCAGCGTCTGTGATTTTCAGTTCCCTTCAGCCTGGTCCACCTCAACACTCAAGGCCAAGAAGAGCCCCTCTTGGCCTTGAGACTGTACAAGGTCTCAAGGCCGAGAGGGTCCTTCTGATGGGTATCCCTGAAAATACCCGGATACCCGCCAAGATTTCAAGGAAAATTGGGCATCTGCACCCAAATCCAAATCCTCTGGCAGGTATCTGTTAGGCCAGGTGGGTATCCGCCAGCGGATAGCGGGTATCTGCAATGAGTACCCTCAGGCCATCTCTAGTCAGTTTTTGCCGTCTGCAACTGTATATCATTGTGATGACAGACATCAAAGACATTCAGTTGAATGCAGATCCTTTTAAACTTAACTAAGTCCCCTCCTGGGTGCAAAGCACTGCTCTCCAAAGCTCTGAGGGGACCTATGAAAGAGGGGGCAAGTTAACCTGAGAGGTTTTTCAAGTGCATACTTGAACTCCAGGTCCTATAATTCCTGAGTCTTAAACTGACTTCATCTGTTGATGAACACCACAACAATCACAGTGAATAACAGAATGTAAGATTTTGGAAATTCATCAAATTAGAGGATTCAGTTCAGAAGGATTTTTCTGTCTTTCTTCACTTACCAAGTCAATAGATCAATCCTTGGACCTCTGAATGGCTATCAACACCTCACTCAATATAGACAGTTTGATTCCTCCAAATCATCCAGAGAACCTCCATGATTTACAAATGGAGCCATGCATAAGAAATGCATGTATGTATTTATCTGAAACAAGTTTTTGAAGAAAAACTAGGCAACTTGAGCTGCAGATGGTGTGGGTTGATCTTTGGAAAACATGAGGAAATAAATATATATTTATGTTTATGTATGTATATCAGTCAATATCTGAACTTCTCAAACCATTCTACTTTTTTTTACAACTACTACTTCTCTCATGACGCAAATATACCCCACAATTATCTCAGAGAAACTCAGTAGATTATCTCTTGTGTTTTTTAATAGATGAAAGAAAAAAAAATAAGCAGATAGAAAAAAATAAATTAAAGAAAACAAGGCATGATTGAAAATTGAGTTTTTTCCACTCAAGTTCTTTCTTTTGTCATCCCCCCCCCCTCCCCAGCCCAAATACCAACAAAGCATGTGATCTTGGGGCCTCTCTTCGCCAGAAGACTAGACATGAGTGAATTTGCCCTCTGCCAATCTTGCTTTGGTCATCGCTGCAATTATTGCACTTCCTACTCCGGAGCCATCTTCGGCATGATAGGTTTTCTGAAACGAAAAGTACGATCAAGTCAAACCGGATCTCATAAACACACACATAGTCAAGCCACTTACAATTAAGCGGCCCTTTTCACCAAAAATATCCACGAGAGCTTCGTGTAACCTTTGGGGAAATTGTGGGTATTTCTGCGGAAAGAAATCCGGGACATTCGAGTAAGTGATGTACCGCTACTATTCTTGTGTCAGTAGATTATGAAGACAACTCACATTGTAAAGACTTCCATCGGTAGCCACTCCACATCCGGTTTCGACCATTCCCATCTTGGACACTATAGCCGCTATTCCACAGGCCGAAAGTCTAGCGGACCTGGTACCTATCAATTCCGCAAGTCTTCGGAAAAACTGGCGTTCGGAAATCGTGGTATCCAAGCCAAAGAAGTGTGTAAATAACCCTGTGACTGTCAATAATTCCTCTGTGGGGTCACTTGAGTCAAAATGTCGTTTGTCAGTCAAGACTCGGATTCAGTTCAAGCAAGCACAGGGATTGTTTTGCTACTTACCTTTCGATCAGACTGAGGAAGGCAGTATCGAAACAATAGCTCTTTTCCATCTTATATGTATTCTGACCCAAAAACAAGATCCCTTCTTCGATCATCTCCACTACGATCAGTCGGAAAACTTCACCAAGATAGAGGCCGGCGATCATCTTCTCAAAAGCTTGTTCTCCAGGCTTATTAGAGGTTTCATCGATGACCAAATCATACTTGGTTCGAGGCAAGTGTTCATGGGTACCAGAATCGAAAGCCCCCCATTCACAATTGATAGCCATCTCGGCATCTGGAGGAAGGCCGAGTGAGGCGATCTTGGGGATATTTGCGACTTTCTCCATGTAAGCGGCGTTGCAGCCTGTACCGAAGATAACTCCGATTCTGGTGGCCGGATCGACGTAAGAAGACGCAATAAGCGTTCCAGTGGTGTCGTTAATTACTGCAGTGAGCTTGACGGGTACTTTCTGATGAATGGAGGGCAATTATATTCAGCTCATGACAAGTACATGAGTAGATACTATAGCGTGACGTACAAATTTCTTTAATGACTTGGAAAAAATCTCGCCAACATCGTGCCCTTCCACGTTGGGGTTTCCGAAACCTTTAGTCCAACGAATGAGCTCACCATGGTCGATTTTCTTCTGCCTACATTGCGCATCAAGCAGACCCATCAGATCCAATCAGGGGAAAAAGATAAAAAATTCGAGGACCAAAACCAAAAAAGTCAAAAAAAGACTCACGTGCAAGGGTAACTGAAGGTGAACCCTAGGGGGATATCCGCGTCTAACAGCAAATTGCCATCATCGTCAACATATTGATCGTTGACAAACCTAAATTTCAAGGAACAAACAGACAGGATGAATACATGAGCTCTTTGTCTGGACATTAAAGCATCTTGGTAAAAGTAATGAACTCAACTTGGATAAACATTCTGCGCAAAAGTCAAATAACTTTTCTCCTTCTTGTTGCTTTTGTTCATCCGTCAATTTGTATTTTGCTTGGGTGATTTCAAACCTGCCATCACCCTGCAGTTCCACATGACATACACGCAAATTGGTACCGCCTGTTTTAAGAGAGAAAGTAGCAAACGAGTAAGGTTACTGACCCGAGTTTCAAGAACATGTCTCTTAATTGGCAGCGGTTGGCATGATGGGTGGAGGGCATCAGCTTACCCAAGTCCACGGCCAAGTATGGGCCAACTTCCTTGCCGGTTGGCCATCCAAACACAAATGTGGGTATCATAGGCTACAGGGGACGCATGAGCCTAATTGTTTTTCTTTCTTGCTTGACATCATGAAACTTTGGATATGCTCACAACGCACTGTCCATCCTCTTTCAAACCTGCTTCAAGGGTATCGATAAATGCCTCGACAATCATTCGCATTCTACATTATTTGGAAACCCAACTCATGTGTGAATGTGATGGATCACGTGGAACAGATAGGCTGATAGAAACGGATAGCAGGGTAGAAAACAAACCGTTGAGGGGTGACCATGAAAAGATGTTCGAATTTCCTAAGGTAATCCGCCATCTGCATCTTAGTCGCATGGGGAAGTTGGGCATTGTCATGGGTTCTAGAGTGAAGATGAGATCCGACCAAGGTAGTAGGTGAGTCGAGCAGGGGGGCACAATCGACAGAATCGGTAAGATGTAAAGCAGTTCGTTTGACGCATGCAGAGCGGCGGGACAACAGGGTATTCCCGAGCCCAGAATGTCCAGGCGGCAGTGAGCGTGAGCGATCGAGTGGTATTAGGACATGAGAGAGCAGGTGTTGATTGCGATGGAGGGCGGCGACAAAGGAGGGGTGGTTTTCCAATAGCGAGTGAGTACGTTTGACGTGTAGATTAGGTGGGGCGTCGCCGGGCGTGGAGATGGGAGATATGTCGAAGACAGAAGGTAAGTCGAGTAAGGGAGTAGCCAAGGGCAGGGCGCGATGGGGCATAACGTCGAAGGTAGCAATACGATGTGCGAGTGTCGTATGAGGGATTGTTGAAATGAGGGGCGGATGAAATATCGATGGACCAAAGCGTCGGTGCGGGCGATGAACATGCAAAGCAAGACGGTGTCGATGGGATGAGAATCAAGAGTCAAGGTGAGTATATGAACAGACGATGGAGAGGCAATGTTAGTGAGAGGGCTTTCGGGTTTTGCTAAGGATCAAGCAGCAGAAGGTGAGAGCCAAGACAAGTAATGGCAATGATGAGCTACAAAAATATGAATCGAGATGGACGTGCAGCTAACAAATGTCAGGTCATCAGGTCAAGTTAAACAAACTTGATAGGCTCTCCGCTCCTCAATCGGGATTTTTGATCTAGAAAATCTACACGGTTTGGGCTTAGTTGGTCACTGAGGAGGCTTAATCAACTGATGGCAATTTTACAGCAGTCGCTACTGCTGTGCCCAAGATGACAAGGGAGATAGCACGCTAAGTTGGATAAGCTATTCCAATCGACGGAATATAGCCAGGTGGAGGATTAACAGACAGATGACCGAAGCCGATGGCTGATTCACCAGCCATGGAAATAAGAGGTCAAGTGATCGATGGAAGGATGGATTATGAATTAATTAAGCGGCTTATACGGAACGACAAGCGCCCCGGTGAGATTGGTGGAGAGAGAAGAGGAGACGGGAGATCGCGGTTTTCCGAGGGGTTTGGTTTGGAGGCTTGAGGACAGCAGGATGATGAAAGTTCAAGATTGATCGAAAGTGCTGATAGTAAAATGAAGCCGATGGGGGATGACGAGGAGAGCAAGACCGAGAGAGAGAGAGAGAGAGAGAGAGAGAGAGAGAGAGAGAGAGAGAGAGAGAGAGAGAGAGAGAGAGAGAGAGAGAGAGAGAGAGAGAGAGAGAGAAAGATGAGAGGGAAAAGGTTTGAAGATTAAAATACTGACCTGGTTATGAACAACGATAGAACCACGACCATTGGGCCCTACTTTCCGATGCGTCTAGAGAAGGTAGCACTCTTTCGGAAGGTGGGATCAGAGCTGGTTGAAGCCATGTTGAGCGTTTACAGGAGACGGATGTGAGTGGAAGTAGGAACGACTGAGGACATGTTTAATGAAGAAAAAGAAAGAATTAGGGTTATCGGTGATCGAAGGAGTTCGTATGGAAGAGCTTTAGTTTTATCCGAATCTGCTCCAGCTGGTTGATGGTGGGAGTAAGCTTGGAAGAGAGGCAGGGTGGGTGGATATAAGTGTGATGAGGATGGTCACTGGGAATGGTTTGTCAAGGTTATGCGGTGGTACTAGCTGTAAGGGCAGAATTCAGTTAGGTAGTTAGTTAGTTGAAGATATACGATATGTCTATATATTCACTTGATATCCGGATGAGAAGATGAACAGTAGATTGGGGGGGATGGATAGGAAAAGCTAGACAAACTCACCCGTGCAAGCTTGGGTCGATTGATGGTCTGATGATAGTGATCTGGTCTGGAGATGAGGCCCGGGAAGAGAAGGAAGGGGTTAGTATGATACTCTTGAGGGAGTGAGGTTGAGATGGAGAAGACTTTACACTGTTTTGGTTGATCGATTGTCTGAGAGAGGGCAGCGCCGAGTGGTAAACTGCAAGACTTCAAGAGGAGCCAAACCACTTCCTACAACTTACACAGCCACAAATACCTACTTATGGGCTTACACATACTTATCATGGGCTTACAGAGTGAATATCTACCTGTTACACTGCACAACCCACGAGTCTTCTCAGGGATACATATTTTATCAATTGATTGGGGTGGATTACCTAGCTCCCACAAATCCTAGACAAGGAAATCAAATCAACATCTCAAATATCCAGTGCCATCAAGTACATATAAATCATCCCATTAACTTGAGATCTAAACTGGTACATGGATAAGCACGTAGAAATCAATCATTGGAAAAAACACGGTCATGTCACTCTTCTCAAGTGGATTTCAGCAGTCCTATCTTGAGAATTCAAAAAACTACATAGAGGCTGAAAATACTGCAGAAAAATCCTGGGCTGTCGTCCTCCTATTGTTTCTTTTTTTTTTTTTTGAATTGATTGCAATGTGTTCCTAGTTGAGTATCCAATGGCGAAGAGCGCAATCTAAACCCAAATCTGGGGAACCCATGAGGTGTATTCCAGAGCACAGTCCATCAAAAAACACGGCCTCAATGTGAATTTATTACTACAATGACGATTATCGCAGCAAGTTGAAAGACAAAGATTAGAAAACACGAGATTTCTCATCATATTTTGAGCACAGATAGGTATAAGTTTGGATATATCTCATAAGAAAAAAAAATAGATCAAGAACAAATTAAGCAAACAAAAAAAAAACGACAAGAACAAGTGGCGGCCATTTTCTATGGAGTGTGGCAGGCAGAAAAAAAAGAGGTAATAAATATATAGAAGCAGATCCGCTGATAGTAAACAAGAAAAGGGGGTCTATAGCTGTCTAATTGAGGATAACAACATCGGATGTATCATCACCACTTTCACTGCCATGTGATGATATCGACAATCCATCCACATCGTCAGAAACCTTGGTGACTGAGGAACTCGAGTCTGAACCTGTTTCCGATTCATCCCAGTCTTCCCCATCACCTTGAGTGTCTGTTTGAGATCTTGATCTGGTGCCGTTTGCTTTTCTGCTTGAAGTCTTTTGATTCTTCTCTTGACCCGCGCATTTCTTTTGGCTCTCATCTGAGGTTTTATCTCTTGAACAACCCTCTTCACGATTCGCCCGTTTAATCATAGAATCCAGCCTGTTAGTTTTCTCGTCACTTGTTTCTTGTCGATCGAGCTTGTTCTTTCCTTTCGAGTTGGATCGACCTTCACCGCTATTTCCAGCTGTGACGCGCGAGGAATCGGCCGATTTTCTGACGGTACTACCGACTCCTTTGGCCCCAGGACCATCCACTGGACTTCCTTGCGGTTTGTTGGCATCGCGTCCCGCACGTTGGGATCTTTCTGTTGGTTGATCGTCAGCGGTCCCGTTGTTTGGGTCTGTATTCGACGTCTGGTTACTAAGGTGAGATTCGTAAATGATTTGCAGGTCCAACAACGCGCTAGTCATCCGGACTAAATCACTGGAGAGTGGGACTGTCACTTGAATATCGCCTGGCAGCGTGACCGAGTGATCCGATTGTCCTGTTTCCATCTCGATAGCTAATCGAAATAGTTGCTCCAACACATAACAGAGGGGTACGTAGGCCGCATTGTCCAATAAGTCCCGAATCGTGGCTGAAGTCGATGCGGGTCGATTATGAAGAATTTCCTCAACATCAGCCATCAAACCGGGGAACGAGTCTTGTAGCTTTTCGAGTTTCGCTTCAGTCGAATTAGGTCGATGATCCTTTTCAGAGATCTTATTCCATATTATTTTGTGCTGCCGATGATCAAGAGGAGAGATACCAGTGGTGCTTGATTTGACGAATTCCGAGTTGAGGATCTTCCAAGGCTGAGCGAGCTTCCGGAGAATTCCTTGAACCACACTGATTGTGCTCAGAAATAGTTCCGAGCGAAAGTGCCAACTCAAGAGGGGAGAACATAGAAATGTCTGACTGAGAACATCGATCAATGTTGAGCTGATGAGTATAGATCCAAGAAAGCCCAAGCGCTCGTCATCCTCTCCACTAGCGGTCAACAAGCCGTTTGCGGCGTTCATATACTCGACCAAAGCTTCGTCGCCGTAAAGGTGAGTTATCTTGGGACCATGTTTGAAAGATATCTTGTATTGATTCATTAGGAAGCAAGTATCAAGTTGCCCTAACAGCTATTATTGAAAGAAAGCAGAGCGTGATTTAAGCATTCACTCTGAGCAAGCTCCACTGTGCCAAACGTGAAGCAAAACTAGATAAATACTTTACCTCGATCCAGATTGCTGCTCGACCGGTGGCGCAGCATTTTATCGTTGGACAATCCTGTCCATGAAACGGTCCTGAACAATTCCAGTCGCATCCGGTGACATTCATGCATCCCTTGCAAATGACCTCGCAACACATCGGGCAGTAATGATGAATCTGATCCGGCGAGACCTGGAGACGAATAAAATCGGTATTGCGTTTACAAGAGAAACTCAGCGAAACAGCATACCGGCGGAGTGGTTTCGATGACAGACTTGCAGCTTTGACATGGACGAGCCCGCTGGAGTTGAAATTTGAGTCGAATCAATTCTTGATCAGGCCCGACGGGTGATGACTGGCTACTACTCGGCAAGAGGGAGGTGAAGATTAACTGTCGACCTTGGGCTGAGGGAAGGTGTGGTTCTGAAGTGATCTGGTTGCTCCGATTGGCCGATCCCGAGGGCTGCTGGCTAGTACTTGGTAAGAGGGATGTAAAGGTGAACTGCCCATCTTGGCCTGAGAGCACGCAAGAATTGGAAGAGGGTTGACTCGCTTTAATCGTTGAATTGAGCTTTGGAGTGATTGCTTCGGGTGGATGCGAATGATTGAGCGGCGAGGGGTTAGAGGGAGTCGAGATTGCTGGATTCCTAGGATCAGGAACGATTTTGCGGATATAGCCAACTAATTGACGAGGGCTGTGTCGAAAGTCTGCCATGGCTACAGAACAGATACCTTCAGATTGCGCTCGCAAGCGCAACATATTATCATTGGATAGCAAAGCTATCACCGTTCCCGGATGATTGGTCTTCGCTCGAAGATGAAGATTATTGGCGTATGTGAGTATTCTGGTGTCCGGGTCCTTGTCCTTGATGAAGATCAAAATTATAAAATATCTGATCAGCATGATTCCCAAACCGGTACTTACACTTATCTAGACTTGTTGCAACGCACTCGTCTGTCTTCTTCTGACTCCTCTTCAAGTTTTTGGAGCACAACCCTTGAGGAACCGAGTTTGACGAGATCGAGTAACCAGTTTGTTACTTGCCTTGCCAAGGAGCCCATCGTCTGTTGAGAAGAACATCTGCCAGCCTCGAAAACCTCGACCAGATGTTGGCGAGTCTTTTGGAGATCTAGCTCGTTGAGGACAGCCGCCGGAACTAAAAGACGACAGTTTGAGCCCAGAAGGGGTATCAGAGCTCGTAAGAAATGCTGATAAGCCAGTAGGATATTGGTGTCTAGTACGATGTCGATCTAGCCAAAGTGTCAGAAGGGTCAGTTGGTTTTTTCTCCAGACATTGTATTTGAGAAAGAAAGATGAGTTCATTATGAACCTACCTGATAGCCTTCATCATTGATCACCAGGGGGTAGTTCTGTTGTCCTGTTTGGCGGATGCAGTTAGCCGAGTGATGGATTAAACTGAAGAGTGGTGAGAGTGCCGCCGAAAAAGAATTTACTTCTCAATCCGGGTGGCTTGGTTGGTAGCTTGGGCATCCGGGCGTTAGATTGGCGGGGTACTCCAAGTTGGTCTTGATCGATCGGAGGGGAGCCCAGGACGGCAAAGCGATTATCAGATTGGAGTGTTGCACGCTGTGGCAATTTTGCGATGGGCCTGGAAGAATGTCGAGTGAAAGGTTGAGAGGAGGTCGATGGAGGGTTGTTGTTGAGTGGTTGATTAGGATTCCATGGATTCCGGGATCCAGTCATCTGATGGCGGTTTCCACTGTGCTGGTTCCCACGTTTCTAAAATAAATAAAGGATTGTTGTGTTGATGATAAGTTGGTCAGCAAGATGGCTGGATAAATATAAGTGTTCCAGTGACGCAGTAGGATTATGAGGTGGATAGAGGGCTTGCTTGGACATTCAACTGAGATTGGTACGTACTACAACCTCGGTCCAGCCGTTATGAAATTTGTAAGACTTTCCAGGGAAGGCTTGGTGATTACGAATATTCTGATGGTTGACAGCGTTAGAAGGGTTGGAGATGGTATGGCTCGGTGTAGTCGATGGAGGTGGTTGAGATCTATGTGTCGATGGTAGTTTTTCTTGTGTTCCGGCTGAGGTTCGGTTTGGGTATCCGAGGTTTTTTCGCAAGGAGCAGAGCTGTTAGATGATGATGATGAAGGATGTAAGTACATAGTTGAGGAAGGGAAGCAGAGAGAGAGGGCGTTTGTGAGACGGGCTTACGAGTTTGTAATTTTATTTTTATTTTATTATTTTAGATGATCCCGTGAGCCGGACGGGTTTATAGAAGTATAGGAGATGTATACGCGTGAAAATTGGATGGCGAGATTAGTCTTGGAAGGCCTCGAAGGGACGGTATAATCAATTGTGGATGGTTTGCGTACATTTTAATGGAGGGAAGTTTTGATGAGAGAGAGAGAGCCGTTCGAATTCTCGGGCACAATTTGCAGGATCGACACTAGTGGTTCCTTGGCGAGTTTGGTGTTGGTGTTGGCTGTATCTCTGCTGAGGTTGTTGGTGATATCGGTTTCGTTTGTTGGTTGGTTTTTGATACCAACTATCAGCATAGTACCTGCGTTTCTGGGTCATGACCTGGAGGGAGTTGAGCTGAAGAGGACTTGGGAGCGAAAGGAGAGATATCGAGGAGAAGCTGATGCATAAGCTGAGTGCTACTTATAGACTGATGACGCCTCCAAGATCTAAGTATTCAAACAAACAAACAAGTCAGCTTGAGGGCTCGATCGGCACTGACTCCGTAAGAGATGGATCCAGGCAATGTTACCCTTTGCAAAGATGTTGTAAATATGTTGTGGGAATATTTTGGTGATCACTTGATAGGATTATTGTATTCATGGAGAAGAGCCAGCTTCAGAAGATCATTTGGAAATTTATACATAGGGTTATGTAATCATACACACCACCGGAGCAGTTCACAGACCATCCACCCTCCCGAGCTTAACTACACCCAACTTATTGTGACCTGAGGTGTCAAACTTAGGTCAAGAAACTCCGAGAAGAAAAGAAAAGAAAAAAATAAAAATTAATTCTTTCAAAAAACAAAACTAGATATCGTAAAACTTCTACTATTTTCTACTTCTACGTCTCCAATAGTTATCATTTATAAACGGATCAAGGATCAGTTATACAACAGCTACATAGCAATATCACACTCTTTAGTTACCAACATTCTTTGTTAGACATACAACAAACTTACCTTTCCTTTATCTATAAATACTGGTTGTGTTTCCTGTCTTTTATGTCTCCCCAAGAGACTTATCTTGTTATTTTAGTTCTCATTGCAAAAATATCACATATCTTACAGTTTCAAAAGAAAAATACTGGAAAGTTCCAGTTCCGTAAAAGAAAAGTATTCAGCAGTCTAAAAGTCTAGAAAGTCTCAAAGTATCGGCTAAAGTTGCCGCGTTCTTTACATGAGGCTCCAATAGTGTATAATTCCGTAAGGTTCAGAGGGAGAGATGACTCGGAAGGGACTTCCGAGTCCTTGCTAGATGCCGTGCTGCGGCGAGTCAGAGGCGTGTAACCCCCAGGTTACAACACCCCCCCCTCTCGCTGTAGACGCCCTACTACATACAAACAACTTAGTAAAAAAAAAACAAAACAAAACAAAACAGAAAGAAATGCAGCTTAATGCAAGATGAAAAATCTAAAGATTATATAATCCACATTGAAAATTCATCCCATAAT